CAGAACTTGTTACTTAGGGCTACAGAAACGTTACTTAGGGCCACAGAAATGTTACTAGGGCCACAGAATCGTTACTTAGGGCCACAGAATCGTTACTTAGGGACACAGAAACGTTACTTAGGGCCACAGAAACTGTTACTTAGGGCCACAGAATTGTTACTTAGGGACAGACACAGAATTGTTACTGAGGGACACAGAATTGTTACTGAGGGACACAGAACCGTTACTTAGGGACACAGAAACGTTACTTAGGGCCACAGAAACGTTACTTAGGGCCACAGAATTGTTACTTGGGCCACAGAAACGTTACTTAGGGCCACAGAAACGTTACTTAGGGCCACAGAATTGTTACTCAGGGACAGACACAGAATTGTTACTCAGGGACAGACACAGAATTGTTACTCAGGGACACAGAATTGTTACTGAGGGACACAGAATTGTTACTGAGGGACACAGAATTGTTACTCAGGGACACAGAATTGTTACTGAGGGACACAGAATTGTTACTGAGGGACACAGAATTGTTACTCAGGGGGCCACAGAATTGTTTACTTAGGGACAGACACAGAATTGTTACTAGGGACAGACACAGAATTGTTACTGAGGGACACAGAATTGTTACTGAGGGCCACAGAACTGTTACTTAGGGCCACAGAAACGTTACTCAGGGACACAGAATTGTTACTCAGGGACAGACACAGAATTGTTACTCAGGGACAGACACAGAATTGTTACTGAGGGACACAGAATTGTTACTGAGGGACACAGAATTGTTACTGAGGGCCACAGAATTGTTACTTAGGGCCACAGAACGTTACTCAGGGACACAGAATTGTTACTCAGGGACAGACACAGAATTGTTACTCAGGGACAGACACAGAATTGTTACTGAGGGACACAGAATTGTTACTGAGGGACACAGAATCGTTACTGAGGGCCACAGAATCGTTACTTAGGGCCACAGAAACATTACTTAGGGCCACAGAAACGTTACTTAGGGCCACAGAAACGTTACTTAGGGGACACAGAATTGTTACTCAGGGACAGACACAGAATTGTTACTCAGGGACAGACACAGAATTGTTACTCAGGGACACAGAATTTACTGAGGGACACAGAATTGTTACTGAGGGACACAGACACAGAATTGTTACTGAGGGACACAGAATTGTTACTGAGGGACACAGAATTGTTACTCAGGGACACAGAATTGTTACTCAGGGACAGACACAGAATTGTTACTCAGGGACAGACACAGAATTGTTACTGAGGGACACAGAATTGTTACTGAGGGCCACAGAACTGTTACTTAGGGCCACAGAAACGTTACTCAGGGACACAGAATTGTTACTCAGGGACAGACACAGAATTGTTACTCAGGGACAGACACAGAATTGTTACTGAGGGACACAGAATTGTTACTGAGGGACACAGAATTGTTACTCAGGGACAGACACAGAATTGTTACTCAGGACACAGACACAGAATTGTTACTGAGGGACACAGAATTGTTACTGAGGGCCACAGAACTGTTACTTAGGGCCACAGAAACGTTACTCAGGGACACAGAATTGTTACTCAGTACAGACACAGAATTTGTTACTCAGGGACACAGAATTGTTACTGAGGGACACAGAATTGTTACTCAGGGACACAGAATTGTTACTGAGGGACACAGAATTGTTACTGAGGGGACACAGAATTGTTACTGAGGGAGGGACACAGAATTGTTACTGAGGGACAGACACAGAATTGTTACTCAGGGACACAGAATTGTTACTGAGGGGGACACAGAATTGTTACTGAGGGCCACAGAACTGTTACTTAGGGCCACAGAAACGTTACTCAGGGACACAGAATTGTTACTCAGGGACAGACACAGAATTGTTACTCAGGGACAGACACAGAATTGTTACTGAGGGACACAGAATTGTTACTGAGGGACACAGAATTGTTACTGAGGGACACAGAACTGTTACTTAGGGCCACAGAAACGTTACTCAGGGACACAGAATTGTTATCAGGGACAGACACAGAATTGTTACTCAGGGACAGACACAGAATTGTTACTCAGGGACACAGAATTGTTACTGAGGGACACAGAATTGTTACTGAGGGCCACAGAATCGTTACTTAGGGCCACAGAAACGTTACTTAGGGCCACAGAAACGTTACTTAGGGCAACAGAAACGTTACTTAGGGACACAGAATTGTTACTCAGGGACAGACACAGAATTCTTACTCAGGGACAGACACAGAATTGTTACTCAGGGGGACACAGAATTGTTACTCAGGGACACAGAATTGTTACTACTGAGAGGGACACAGAATTGTTACTGAGGGACACAGAATTGTTACTGAGGGACACAGAATTGTTACTGAGGGACACAGAATTGTTACTCAGGGACAGACACAGAATTGTTACTGAGGGACACAGAATTGTTACTGAGGGACACAGAATTGTTACTGAGGGACACAGATTGTTACTGAGGGACACAGAATTGTTACTTAGGGGGACACACAGAATTGTTACTGAGGGACAGAAGAATTTACTGATGGGCCACAGAACTGTTACTTAGGGCCACAGAAACGTTACTCAGGGACACAGAATTGTTACTCAGGGACAGACACAGAATTGTTACTCAGGGACACAGAATCGTTGAATTAAAGAGTATGTCAGACAACATGCAGAGGAGTGGCAGAGGAAGCAATGTTTTAGGAGCGAGCAGACGTGGCAGCAGAGGAAGGGGTCGAGGCAGCACTATTCGCAGCCAGAGGCCAGTGCTCCCGGTGTCATCCAGTACAGTGAGGAAGAGCTAACAGAGGGCGGTCAGGAACGGGGGGAGACATCCGCCTCTTCAGCAGCCAGGTGAAGAAGTAGTGGCGAGGAGAGTGGCTCGGTAGCCGGTCTAGAGACAGGTCTGTCTCCTGACCCACACGCAGCCGAGGGGGCTAGTAGTGAGGCGGAGACCCTAATTGATGATGATGAGGCTGATCGCACTTGGCAGCCTCGTCGTCATCAGGCTATTGCTTCCGCATCATCAGGAGAAGAGGGTGGCAGCTTGGCAGCGAGCAAAACAGTCGGTGGGGTTGTCTCCATCGCCACACTCTGCCATGTGCCACTTTCAGGTCTCCTCACACACTGCTGGTGTGTTCCATTTTTTTGTCATAGGGTGCTGGCAGATTACGGGCCTCCCATAGCTGCTGCCAGGCCCCTAATCTGCCATGGGCCCCTGTACCGCCGCCTCCTCATGCTGCTGCCAGGTCCAGAGCCAGGTCCCACAGTGTCCATCGCCACACTCATGCCATGTGCCACTTTCAGGTCTCCTCACACACTGCTGGTGTGTTCCATTTTTTGTCATAGGGTGCTGGCAGATTACGGGCCTCCCATAGCTGCTGCCAGGCCCCTAATCTGCCATGGGCCCCTATACCGCCTCCTCATGCTGCTGCAAAGTCCAGAGTCTCTCATGGGTCCCTGTACGGCCTCCCATTGCTGCTGTCTCCATCGCCACACTCTGCCATGTGCCACTTTCAGGTCTCCTCACACACTGCTGGTGTGTTCAATTTTTTTGACATAGGGTGCTGGCAGATTACGGGCCTCCCATAGCTGCTGCCAGGCCCCCTAATCTGCCATGGGCCCCTATACCGCCTCCTCATGCTGCTGCGAAGTCCAGAGTCTCTCATGGGTCCCTGTACGGCCTCCCATTGCTGCTGTCTCCATCGCCACACTCTGCCATGTGCCACTTTCAGGTCTCCTCACACACTGCTGGCTGCAGGCCACTAATCTCTGCCATGTGTGTTCCATTTTTTGACATAGGGTGCTGGCAGATTACGGGCCTCCCATAGCTGCTGCCAGGCCCCTAATCTGCCATGGGCCCCTATAGCGCCTCCTCATGCTGCTGCCAGGTCCAGAGTGTCTCATGGGTCCCTGTACGGCCTTCCATTGCTGCTGTCTCCATCGCCACACTCTGCCATGTGCCACTTTCAGGTCTCCCTCACACTGCTGGTGTGTTCCATTTTTTGTCATAGGGTGCTGGCAGATTACGGGCCTCCCATAGCTGCTGCCGGGCCCCTAATCTGCCATGGGCCCCTATACCGCCTCCTCATGCTGCTGCCAGGTCCAGAGTGTCTCATGGGTCCCTGTACGGCCTCCCATTGCTGCTGTCTCCATCGCCACACTCTGCCATGTGCCACTTTCAGGTCTCCTCACACTGCTGGTGTGTTCCATTTTTTGTCATAGGGTGCTGGCAGATTACGGGCCTCCTATAGCTGCTGCCAGGCCCCTAATCTGCCATGGGCCCCTGTACCGCCTCCTCATGCTGCTGCCAGGTCCACAGTGTCTCATGCCATGTGCCACTTTCAGGTCTCCTCACACTGCTGGTGTGTTCAATTTTTTGACATAGGGTGCTGGCAGATTACGGGCCTCCTATAGATTCTGCCAGGCCCCTAATCTGCCATGGGCCCCTGTACCGCCTCCTCATGCTGCTGCCAGGTCCACAGTGTCTCATGCCATGTGCCACTTTCAGGTCTCCTCACACTGCTGGGTGTGTTCAATTTTTTGACATAGGGTGCTGGCAGATTACGGGCCTCCCATAGCTGCTGCCAGGCCCCTAATCTGCCATGGGCCCCCGTACCGCCTCCTCATGCTGCTGCCAAGTCCAGAGTCTGTCATGGGTCCCTGTACAGCCTCCCATTGCTGCTGTCTCCATCGCCACACTCTGCCATGTGCCACTTTCAGGTCTCCTCACACTGCTGGTGTGTTCCATTTTTTGTCATAGGGTGCTGGCAGATTACGGGCCTCCTATAGCTGCTGCCAGGCCCCTAATCTGCCATGGGCCCCTGTACCGCCTCCTCATGCTGCTGCCAGGTCCAGGTCCACAGTGTCTCATGCCATGTGCCACTTTCAGGTCTCCTCACACTGCTGGTGTGTTCAATTTTTTGACATAGGGTGCTGGCAGATTACGGGCCTCCTATAGCTGCTGCCAGGCCCCTAATCTGCCATGGGCCCCTGTACCGCCTCCTCATGCTGCTGCCAGGTCCACAGTGTCTCATGCCATGTGCCACTTTCAGGTCTCCTCACACTGCTGGTGTGTTAAAATTTTTTGACATAGGGTGTGCTGGCAGATTACGGGCCTCCTATAGCTGCCAGGCCCCTAATCTGCCATGGGCCCCTATACCGCCTCCTCATGCTGCTGCTGCCAGGTCCAGAGTCTCTCATGGGTCCCTGTACGGCCTCCCATTGCTGCTGTCTCCATCGCCACACTCTGCCATGTACCACTTTCAGGTCTCCTCACACACTGCTGGTGTGTTGAATTTTTTGACATAGGTTGCTGGCAGATTACGGGCCTCCCATTGCTGCTGCCAGGCCCGTAATCTGCCATGGGCCCCCGTACCGACTCCTCATGCTGTGACGTTGCAACAAGGTGGAATTCAACCCTACATATGTTAGACCGCCTTTACGAACAGCAAAAGGCCATCACAGATTTCCTGATGTTAAAAGCGGATAAAGGTACTCCCTGTGTAACTTAGATGTCAGCCATTGGCAGCTCATGCGTGACACCTGCGCTTGCTCAGGCCCTTTGAGGAGGCCACGCTATTCGTGAGTCGGCAGGACTATGGGATGAACGACGTCATTCCTCTGTTGCACGTCCTGGAACAAATGCTGTTAACAATGGCTGGTCAGGGTGCGGTAGACGTGGCGCACAGATCTCAACGCCACATGACCCCTGTGGGGGCAGGACAGGAAGAAGAGGAGGAGGTAGAGGAGGACATTGGTGCTCAGGAATTATTGAGTGAAATGGGTGGTTTTTCCACTCAGCGGACAGGAGTGGAGGAGCAGGAGCATCTGGTAGAGGAGGAGGAAGAGGAGACAGAGGACCCAGACGCACCGTGGCAGTATGCTGTGGAGATGGAGGCAGGGAGTCCCTCGCATTCCTTGGCACAAATGGCCCATAGCATGCTCGCTTGCTTGCGTAGCGACAGCCGAATAATAACCATCAGACAGAGGGATGACTTTTGGCTGTCCACCTTGTTGGACCCTCGCTACCGTTCCAAAATGGTGGCCTTTTTCACACCTGCTGAGAGGGAGGCCAAAATAACGTACTATAAAAACCACCTATGTAGTCAGCTGGTCTCTGCCTGTCTGCGCCAACGTCCATCCTCAGACACTGTGGGCCCTGTGCGCTCGCGTTCCGCTGCCATGGCAGCAGGGGAGGGGTGGGGTGGTAGGAGCAGTGGCAGCTCCACCAGCAGCAGCTGCCTCAGTCTGCAGTCGATGATGAGTAGCTTTCTTCACCAGCGCAGTGAGGAAACTACTAACCAGCCGCCAGCAGCAGCAGCAGCAGCAGCATCAGGTGGACCTGGAGCAGGACCTCAAACAACAGGCTTAGGCCTACTTGGACAGCACCCTGCCAACCGAGGTAGACAATCCCCTTGACTACTGGGCAACGAAACTTGACCTTTGGCCCCAACTAGCTGAATTTGCCCTTGAAAGGCTGTCATGCCCGGCCAGTAGCGTGGCATCGGAGCGCGTGTTTAGTGCGGCAGGAGGTATTGCAACTCCGCGGAGGACACGACTGTCCACCCAAAGTGTGGAGAGACTCACATTTGTGAAAATGAATCAGGCGTGGATTAGTTGGATTTCAAACCACCAGTTCCTGACACAACTGACTAAATCCGCCATGAATCATGCCCCAAACATGTGCCACTTTCAGGTCTCCTCACACTGCTGGTGTGTTCCATTTTTTGTCATAGGGTGCTGGCAGATTACGGGCCTCCCATAGCTGCTGCCAGGCCCCTAATCTGCCATGGGCCCCTATATACCGCCTCCTCATGCTGCTGCCAAGTCCAGAGTCTCTCATGGGTCCCTGTACGGCCTCCCATTGCTGCTGTCTCCATCGCCACACTCTGCCATGTGCCACTTTCAGGTCTCCTCACACTGCTGGTGGGTTCCATTTTTTGTCATAGGGTGCTGGCAGATTACGGGCCTCCCATAGCTGCTGCCAGGCCCCTAATCTGCCATGGGCCCCTATACCGCCTCCTCATGCTGCTGCCAGGTCCAGAGTCTCTCATGGGTCCCTGTACGGCCTCCCATTGCTGCTGTCTCCATCGCCACACTCTGCCATGTGCCACTTTCAGGTCTCCTCACACTGCTGGTGGGTTCCATTTTTTGTCATAGGGTGCTGGCAGATTACGGGCTCCCATAGCTGCTGCCAGGCCCCTAATCTGCCATGGGCCCCCGTACCGACTCCTCATGCTGCTGCCAGGCCCGTAATCTGTCATGGGCCCCTGTTGTCCCTTGTTGGCATATTCCGCTCGTTCAGATGCTCCTTCTCCTGCTACTCCTCTTCACGGATTCCGTCAGCAGTCTTTCTTGGAATTCGTTTCCAAGAGACAACAGTTTGCGAGCACGCACCCGACGGTGCAGAAGCTGAACGTCCTCCTGTCCAAGTTGCTGCTGCCAGGCTCGTAATCTGTCATGCGCCCCTGTACCGCCTCCTCATGCTGCTGCCAGGTCCAGAGTGTGTCATGGGTCCCTGTACGGCCTCCCATTGCTGCTGCCAGGCCCGTAATCTGCCATGGCCCCCGTACCAACTCCTCATGCTGCTGCCAGGCTCGTAATCTGTCATGGGCCCCTGTACCGTCTCCTCATGCTGCTGCCAGGTCCAGAGTGTGTCATGGGTCCCTGTACGGCCTCCCATTGCTGCTGTCTCCATCGCCACACTCTGCCATGTGCCACTTTCAGGTCTCCTCACACTGCTGGTGGTTTCCATTTTTGTCATAGGGTGCTGTATGGCCTCCCATTGCTGCTGCCTCCACCGCCACACTGTGGCTCCACACTCTGGTTTTGGCCCCGTGACTGCCCAAATGAGTGAAGTGTGCGGTGATTCTAAGATCGACGGCACTCATCTGCATGTCATACTGACTGTCAGTATTATTTCTCTTCCCCAGCAGACTCCAAGGGCATTTAAATTAAAGGTACAGTGTTCTGCACTAATATAAAGTCTCTCTGAAGCCTAGAAACACCCTTTTATAAGTTAAATTCGCAGCGAATATATTAGACTCGAATCAAAATTTTTCCACGAATTCGCCGAATCAGTCGAATCGAATTTTTGAATACTTCGCTCATCTCTAGTGTTCATGATACATATCATCATGTATATGTTTTAACCTCCTGAGACATATCTGTTTACATTTGAATTTTTATTCATATTTATTTTATGTAAATTACATCATTCTGTTTCTTATTCATATTATTTAGACTCTCCTCACGTTGTTTGCCCGAAAACTTACTCCTCGGCCCCGCCGAACAATGATTCACAAAATCAGAGAACCTGATGGAGCTGTGACTCAAAATCCACAAAAAATTATAAAAATGTTTAATTCCTACTACACTTCTGTATATGGGGAGTCAGAGCCCTGTATAGATGATTTTATCAAAGATCTACCCCTCCTGTTCATCTCAGCCTCTCACCGAGAAATGATGGAAAGTGATATAACTATGGCGGAGGTATTGATGTCAATAAAACAGGCAAACACATCAAAGACTCCTGGCCCAGAGGTTTCTCTGCTTCTTTTTATAAGAAGTTTGCCTATCTGTTAGCACCTCATTTACTTTCCTTTTTCACTGCCTTACGGGACGGGTCCCATCTGGATGAGGACCTAACTAGGGACCATACATGCCTATTGCCAAAGCCAGAAAAGAACCACAGTGATGTGGCTAATTATCACCCAATATCACTTATTTGCACAAACTTAAAAATCTATGCTAATCGGCTTAATACATTTTGCCAAGATATATCCATGTGAACAGGTGAGATTTATCCCAGGACGACAGGCTGCAGATCAGGTCCACTGGGCCAAAGATGTTAAATCTTTACCATCATGGACCCACAAAGGGTATGTTACTGTCTTTAGACTTGCACAAGGCCTTCGACTCCCTGGCTGGCCCTTTCTGTTTCACATACTAAGGAAGTGGAATTTTGGACTAAACTTTCTGACTTTGCTTAGCGTCTTATATTCAAACCCCTCCACATATATTCATATGGACGCAGGTCAGATATATTAAATACAGTGCGTTGAAAAAGTATTCATACCCCTTGAAATGTTTTGCATTTTGTCATGTTACAACTAAAAATGTAAATGTATTTTATTGGGATTTTATGTGACAGGCCAACACAAAGTGGCACATAATTGTGAAGTGGAAGAAAAATGATAAATAGTTTTAAAATTTTTTATTTATTACAGGTACTTATATAGCACCATCAATTTACACAGTGCTTTACATATATATTGCACATTCACATCAGTCCCTAACCCTCAAGGGGCATACAACCCAAAGACCCAAACTTACATTCATACATATACATACTAGGCCCAATTTAGACAGGTTACAATTAACCTACCAGCATGTCTTTGGAGTGTTGGAGGAAACCCACACAGGTACAGGGAGAACATGCAAACTCCAGGCAGGTGGTGCTGTGGTTGGGATTCGAACAAATGACCCTAGTACTGCAAGGCAGAAGTGCTAACCATTTAGCCACTGTGCTGCTCATTTTACAAACAAATATCTGAAATATCAAATATCTGTGGTGTGCATTTGTATTCAGCCCCCTTTACTCTGATACCCCTAACTAAAATCTAGTGGAACCCTAAAACATTATTCAAATATATTAATAGTAAAATGGTCAGGTCCGAGCATGTAGGCCCATTACAAAAAAATCTAGAGTGGGTGACTGGGGACAAAGGGAAGGCAAATTTATTAAATACCTTCTTCAGCTCTGTGTATACAAAGGAGCATGGGGGAGCTCTTGTCCATAATGGGCATGGTATTGGCACAGCCCCAGATGATCCACATTGGCTCACAACTGATATGATCCAGAAATAGTTAGACAGAATAAAGGTGAATAAAGCACCTGGACCGGTTGGCATACACCCACGGGTCCTTAAATAATTGAGCTCTGTCATTTCAAAGCCATTGTTTCTAATTTTTATGGACTCTTTAATGATAGCATAGTACCAGTGGATTGGCGTAAAGCCAATGTGGTGCCTATATTTAAAAAGGGATCAAAATATTTACCAAGTAATTATAGACCTGCTAGTTTAACATCTATAGTTGGGAAGATACTGGAAAGTTTAATAAAAGACCACATAGACAAGTTATTGCTGGAAAAAAATATTTTAAGTAGCAGACAGCATGGATTCATGAACGACAGACAAATCTGATTTTCTTTTTATGAGGAGGTGACCAAAACCTTGGACAGAGAGGTGGCTGTGGATGTGGTGTACTTGGAATTCGCATAAGCGTTTTTACACAGTTCCCAACACAAGGCTAATGTGTACTGTAAACTTTACAGACTTGGAAAAATCAGTATGTACTGTAAATTATTATTATTATTATTATACAGTATTTATAAAGCGCCAAATGTTCACACAGCGCTGTACATTACAAAGGGGGACAGAACATGTGACAGAACAATACCAATACAATGCAAAACATGAGGGGATTGAGGGCCCTGCTCTTTTGAGCTTACAATCTAGGAGTAAATGGATAGAAAACTGGCTAAAAGACCAAATTCAGAAAGTAGTGGTTAATGACTCATACTCTGAATGGTCTAAGGTTGTTAGTGGTTCAGTTTAGGGACCCTTACTATTTAATATATTTATAAACAATATAGGGTCTGGGATCAAAAATACCATTTCAGTCTTTGCAGATCACACCAAGATTTGCAGTGGAATAATGTCCTTACAGGATGTCTCCAACTTACAAGCCGACCTCAATACACTGTTTAATTGGGCAACTGTGGCAAATGAGGTTTAATGTAAGGTTATGCACTTGGGGGCTAAGAATATGCATGCATCATACATACTAGGGGGGGTACAACTGAGGGAATCAATGGTGGAGAAGGATCTGGGAGTTCTGGTAGATCATAACCTTAACAATGCCAAGCTGTGGTTTCTAAAGCAAGCAAAATCCTCTTTTGTGTTAAAAGAAGTATAGACTCCAGAGAGAGATATCATTTTACCCCTATACAAATCATTACTAATACCTTATCTGGAATATGCAGTTAAGTTTTGGGCACCAATTCACAAAAATTCAAAACACGGGGGAACTGGAAAAAGTGCAGAGAAGGGCAACCAAACTGATAACAGAAATGGAGGAGCTCAGCTATGAGGAAAGATTAGAGGAACTGAATTTATTCTCTCTTGAGAAGAGGAGATTAAGGGGGGATATCATCAACATGTATACATACATCAGTGGTTCATATAGTGACTTTGGTGTACAGTTATTCACCCTTAGGTCATCACAGAGGACAAGGGGGCACTCTTTATGTCTGGAGGAAAAGATTTAATCTCCAAATACGGAAAGGTTTTTTTTCACAGTAAGAGCTGTGAAAATGTAGAATAGACGCCCTCAAGGGTTGGTTTTGGCCAGCTCAGTGGACTGCTTTAAAAAAGGCCTGGATTCTTTCCTAGATACACATGATATAACTGTATACTTACATTTATAGGTAAAGTTGATCCACAGAATATCTGATTGCCTCTCGGGGGATCAGGAAGGAATTTGCAGGAGCAAATTGGATCATGCTTTTCTGGGTTTTTTTGCCTTCCTCTGGATGAACTGTGGGTATAAGATAACTTTTTTTTTGTTTAACTGGATGGACTTTTGTCTTTTTTCAGACAGACTAATGCAGGCCATAGATGGGGAGAAAACCGGCTGATTTTTCTTTTAAAAAAAATGAAAAATCGGTTGTTACCAGGAACGGTAAAAAAAATCGGCCAATTTTAATCCCGTCTACAGCTGGCAAAAAGTGTCCCTGCAGAGAGCTCCGCTATTTCTTTGACAGTTCTTTGACATTTATAGCGGTTGCAACAATGTATCTATTTGTATCCATTTAGGATACAGATGTTTTTATTTGGAAACAAATAAATACATTGTTGCAACCGCTATAAATGTCAAGGAACTGTCAAAGAAATAGCGGAGCTCTCTGCAGGGACACTTTTTGCCGGACTGGAATTCCTCCTCTTCTTCATCCTCTTCTTCTTCTTCCTCTTCTTCTTCTTCTTCCTCTTCTTCTTCTTCATCCTCTTCTTCTTCATCCTCTTCTTCATCTTCATCCTCTTCTTCATCTTCCTCTTCTTCATCTTCCTTTTTCATCCTCTTCTTCTTCATCCTCTTCTTCTTCTTCTTCATCTTCTTCTTCTTCTTCTTCTTCTTCTTCTTCTTCATGCTCTTCTTCTTCATCTTCATCCTCTTGTTCTTCTTCCTCTTCTTCTTCTTCATCTTCATCCTCTTCTTCTTCATCCTCTTCTTCATCCTCTTCTTCTTCTTTTTCTACATCCTCTTCTTCTTCTTCTTCTTCATCCTCTTCTTCTTCTTCTTCTTCGTCATCCTCTTCTTCCTCTTCTTCTTCTTCATCATCTTCTTCTTCTTCTTCTTCATCCTCTTCTTCAGCTTCCTCTTCTGCTTCTTCCTCTTCATCCTCTTCTTCTTCATCCTCTTCTTCATCTTCTTCTTCAGCTTCTTCATCCTCTCTTCTCTTCATCCTCTCCTCCTCTCATCCTCTTCTTCTCTCTTCTTCTTCTTCCTCATTTTCTTCTTCCTCATTTTCTTCTTCCTCTTCTTCTTCTTCCTCTTCTTCTTCCTCCTCCTCTTCTTCTTCTTCCTCCTCCTCTTCTTCTTCTTCCTCCTCTACTTCTTCCTCCTCCTCTTCTTCTTCTTCTTCCTCCTCTTCTTCTTCATACTCTTCTTCTTCATTCTCTTCTTCTTCTTCATCCTCCTCTTCTTCTTCTTCATCCTCCTCTTCTTCTTCTTCATCCTCTTCTTCTTCTTCATCCTCCTTTTCTTCTTCTTTATCCTCCTCTTCTTCTTCTTCTTCATCCTCTTTTTCTTTTTCTGCTTCTTCTTTCCTCTTCTTCTTCCTCTTCTTTTTCTTCATCCTCTTCTTTTTCTTCATCCTCTTCTTTTTTTTCATCCTCTTCTTCTTCATCCTCTCATTCTTCATCCTCTTCTTCTCCATCCTCTTCTTCTTTATCCTCTTCTTCTTCTTCATCATCCTCTTCTTCTCCTTCGTCTTCATCCTCTTCTTCCTCTTCTTCTTCCTCCTCTTCTTCTTCCTCCTCCTCTTCTTCTTCTTCCTCCTCTACTTCCTCTTCCTCCTCTACTTCTTTTTCCTCCTCTTCCTCCTCCTCTTCTTCATCTTCTTCATCTTCTTCTTCATCCTCTTCTTCAACCTCTTCTTTTTTTTTCTTCTTCTTCTTCTTCTTCTTCTTCTTCTTCTTCTTCTTCTTCTCTTCTTCTTCTTCATCCTCTTCTTCTTCATCCTCTTCTTCATCTTCTTCTTCATCCTCTTCTTCTTCTTCTTCATCCTTTTCTTCATCCTCTTCTACTTCTACTTCCTCTTCTTCTTCTTCCTCTTCTTCTTCTTCATCCTCTTCTTCTTCCTCTTCTTCTTCTTCATCCTCTTCATCTTCTTCTTCTTCCTCTTCATCCTCTTCTTCTTCTTCTTCTTCTTCATCCTCTTCTTCTTCTCTTCCTCTTGCAGGTCACTGCTCATGCGCAGATCCTGCTTTGATCCTGACTCTGAACGAAGTCCGCCTGTCCTGACCTCGGCTATTCCTGACCACTCTTCCGCTCGCTCCTGGTACCCTGTTTGCCCGTTAGCTACCGACCCGGCCCGCCTGACTACGTTGTGCTCCATATATATATATATATATATATATATATATCAGTTTAGGTTTGGGTTTGTTTCACCTTGTTGTATGTAGTTGTGTTAGTTTTGGGTTTGGTTTGTTGCACTGCGTTTATGTTTATGTTGTCCTTAACCACTTGAGCTCCTGAGGATTTACCTCCCTTACTGACCAGGCCTCTTTTTGCTACTCGGCGCTGCACTAATTCAACTGATAATTGCGCGGTCATGCAATGCTGCACCTAAACGAAATTTATGTCCTTTTTTTTTTTTTCACACAAATAGATATTTTTTTCGGTGGTATTTGATCACCTGTGCACTTTTTATTTTTCACGCTATAAACAGAAAAAGACCAAATATTTTGAAGAAAAACAATATTTTTTTACTTTCAGCTATAAAAAATATATAGTAAACTCAAAGTTAGTTATAAATTTAGGCCAAAATGTATTCTGCTCCATGTTTTTGGTAAACAAAAATCCCAATAAGTGTATATTGATTGCTGTGTGTGAAAGTTATAGCGTCTACAAACTATGGTATAGATACTGCAACTTATGACATTTTTTTTGCTATACAGCGCTGCGCTAGTTTAACGGACAATTGCGCGGTCATGCAATATGGTACATAAATTAAATTTATGTCCTTTTTTTAACACAAATAGAGCATTCTTTTGGTGGTATTTGATAACCTTTGCACTTTTTATTTTTGGTTCTTTAACCAGAAAAAGTTTTGAAGAAAAATAATTTTTTTTGAAAAAAACAATATTTTCTCATTTTGGTCATAAAAAATATCTAAAAAAACTAAAATTTCGTCATAAATTTAGGCCAAAATGTATTCTGCTACATGTTTTTGGTTAAAAAAATCCCAATAAGTGTATATTGATTGCTTTTTGTGAAAGTTATAGCGTCTACAAACTATGGTATAGATAATGGAATTTACACAGCTTTTACTTTCTGACTGCCCATCACATTTCTTGAGGTGCTAAAATACCAGAATAGTACAAACACCCTCAAATGACCCCTTTTCGGAAAGTAGACACCCTAAGCTATCTGCTGAGAGGCATATTGAGTCCATAGAAGATTTATTTTTTTTCCACAAGTTTCTGGAAAATGACAAAAACTTTTTTTTTTTTACACGAAGTTGTCATTTAAATGATTTATTTCTCGCACAAGCCATGGGTATATGTGGAATTACACCCCAAAATACATTCTGCTACTTCTACTGAGTATAGGGATACCACATGTGTGAGACTTTTTGGGAGCTTAGCCAAATACAGGAGCCTGAAATCCAATGACCACTTTGAAAGCCTGAAGGTGCGTAACTTCCTCTCATTACACTTCCTCAATACCTATCACAGTTTTGAAGGCCCTGACATGCCAGGATAGTCCCAAACCCCCCCCCCCCCCCAAATGACTCCTTTCTAGAAAGTAGACACCCCAAGGAATTTAAAAAGAGGAATGTTGAGTATTTTGCAGATCTCATTTTTTTCTCACAAGGTTTTGAAATATAAAAAAAATAGAAAAAAAATATGTTTTTGTTTTTTTTCTTCATTTTCCAAAAACTTGTGGCAACAAATGAGATCTGCAAAATACTTACCGTGCTTTTTATCAAATTCCTTGGGGCGTCTACTTTCCAAAAAGGGGTAATTTGGGGGGGTTAGGTGCTATCCTGGCATTTCATGGCCTCCGAAACTGTGATAGGTAGTCTGGAAGTGTAATGAGGAAATAAAGCCCTTTAAAAGCCTGAAGGTGCTTATTGGATTTTGGGGTCCTGTACTTGGCTAGATTGCCAAAAAGTCTCTCACATGTAGTACCCCCATACTCGGGAGAAGTAGAAAAATGTATTTTGGGGAGTAATTCCACATATAAACCATGGCATGTGTGAGCAGTAAATCATTTAAGTGACAATTTTTGTGTAAAAAAAAAAAAAAATTTATTTTTGTCATTTTCCAAAAACTTGTGGTAAAAAAAATAAATTCTTCTATTGATTCAACATTCCTCTCAGCAAATAGTTTGGGGTGACTACTTTCCAAAAAGGGGTCATTTTTGGGGGGTGGGGCGTTTTATGCCCAGCATTAGAAGTTTATGCCACACACTTTTTGTTCACATGAAAAAAAATCAGTATTTTTTGCTAGGAAATTAATTTAAACCCCCAAAAATTATATATTTTTTTTAAAGCAGACACCCTAGTGAATAAAATGGTGGCTACTACAATTTTTTATGGCACATAGTACTTGTGCAGCGATTTTTCAAAAGCAATTTTTTTTTAAAAAAAATACACTTTTTTTACTTTTAATGCACAAAAACACAATATATTGGCCAATTGTTTGGTAAAATATAAAAGATAATGGTATGCCGAGTAAATAGATATCAAACATGACATGCTTTAAAACTGCGCATGCCCCGTTCAATGGCGACAAACTGCAAACATTTTTAATATCCATAGGCAGCACTTTAAAAGCCACCATTTTAGATTTACAGAGGAGGTCTAGTGTTAGAATTACTGCCCTTGATCTGACGTTCATGGCGATACCTCACATGCATGGTGCAACCGCTGTTTACATAACGGCACAGGGTCAAGGCTTGTGCACAAAGGTGTGCGCGCATGGGAGGGGCAATATATTTTTTTTTTTTTTTTTAGTTATTTTGATTTTTTTTTTTTTATTATTATTTTTACATTGTACCTTTCATATTTTTTTTTATCACTTTTAATGCTATAACAGAGAATGCAAATAACCCCTATAACTTCAATGGGCATTGTCATATATTCTTTTTTGAGAAATATGGGGTCTATCAGACTCTGGATATCTCCTCTGCCCTTACATTATCTAATCAAACCAAAATCGGTGTGATCAAATGCTTTCCCAATTTACAAATGGCGCTGTTTATATCCTGCGAAACTGAAGTGATGAAATGCTTGTAGCTTCTGAATTCTTAGACTATAGAGATGATTGGCACCATTCTGGTCTCCAATCAGCTCTATAGTCAGCTGGCAGAAACACCGGCTGCATTCCCGGGTTCCCCTGATGATGGCATGGGACTGCCTGAGAAGGCCGTGGAAGGCAGCGGGGGAGGGGGAACATCACCTCCCACTGCTTGTAAAAGCAATCCTGCAGCTAATTAGCCACTAGGATTGCTTTTACATGAAAGCCGATCACCGGCTGAAAAAAACGACACCAGGATGATGCCTGCAGCTGTAGGCATCATCCTGGTATAACCATTCAAATCCAGTGATGTACCAATACATCGCTGGTCCTTGTTGGTTATATATACTATGTTCTTTTTTTTTTTTGTATGCAGCCAGTGGACTGAATGAAAAAATAAGAAGAAATCTCTGCCAGAAAAAGTGTGTCATATGCCCACCCATTAGAATATACCGCCCTGCATCCACCCACTTCTAATGGTGGGCACACATCATCAATGCAGATGTTTGGGGGGGAGTATAGGGGGGGGGGGGGGGGGGGGGGGGGGGGGGGGGGGGGGGGGGGGGGGGGGGGGAGGGGCTGAATTTTGTGGGGGGTCAAATTCAGGGGGGGGGGGAGGGGGGGGGGGTGTGGGGGGGGTCGCTGAAATGCATAAACAATAAAACACATTATACTCTCATATCTATGCCTGGCCATGGCAGCAGAGTAGGGGATATGGGGATGAATGGGGTCTGCGGACCAATACAACTGCAATTCATTTCTTTTAGTAATTCCCATGTTGAGGGTTAGGCCCCAAAAAAATGTAAATTTGAAAACCGTAATGAGTTTCCATGCGGAGGGGGCGAATGGGGGGGCAAAGTTTGAATTTGGGTTGGCGGCAATAAATTGTTGTGCATATAAACTGCTTTGATCCACAATCAACGCATACAGATATTCCGTGAAAAACAGCTCCAAAAATCAAGGAGGTATGTGAAAGACCAAGATGAACTAGACCGCTGGTACTCGCCAGTTCACCAAAAAGTAGAGCGGCACTAGTACTGGCACTCTGCTGCATATGAGAGTCATCAAAAATTACCGACAAGTGCTAACAGAGATCAGACCCAGAGATTCTGCGAACACTGCGGTTTTGTGTGCAATGTATCAAGTGACAGCAGTGACCTACTGAAACTGCACTTGCTGGGGGAAAGGGGGGGTAAGCATAGGGGCTTAACGCAGGTGTTGGCAGGTGCAGGGGCTGATCCCGCTAACGCTGCATTTTTGGGGACACTATACTAATGTGAACGCTGGTATAGTGCTGACCTGATCAAAGATATTGACCCGTTCAGACACTATACTAGCAATGGAGGTTTATTGTACATGAGCGTGCTCCTGGCAATCAAGGGGTTAAATGTGATGACTGGTGTACTGACGGGCAATCTGACACTATCTGGGAGGGGCGTGAAAACCACGGGAGCGCGAATCACGTATATATATATATATATATATATATATATACATACTCATGGGCCGCCCTGTAGCAGTATTTCTGCTGTAGGGTGGTCAGGAAGCGGTTACAGAAAAGTTTTCTGTTACGTTGCTGCGTTACTTTTTTGACAATTGCGCGGTCATGCAAACACTGCACCCAAATTAAATTTACATCCTTTTTTTTTCCCACAAATTGAGCTTCCTTTCAGTGGTATTTGATCGCCTATGCGGTTTTAATTTTTTGCGCTATAAAAAAAAAGGCTGACAATTTTGAGAAAAAAAACAATATATTGGACTTTTTGCTATAAAACATGTCCAGTAAAAAAAAATAAAAAAAATCAAATTTTGTCACAAATTTCATCCAAAATGCATTCTGCGACAAAATGCATTCTTTGCAAAAAAAAAATCCCAATACGTGTAAATTAATTGGTTTACATGAAAGTTATAGCGTTTACAAATGGCGGGAAAGATACTGGGATTTTTAATTTTTATTTATACTAATAATGGCGGCGATCAGCGACATATTGCAGCGATCAACGACTTATTGCAGCGATCAGCGACATATGGCGGCGATCAGCGATTTATGGCAGGACTGCGGGACTGAGGCGGACATTTTGACATTGGGGGGGAACTGACTTGGGGTCACTGACATCCCCAGTGACACCAATACAGTGATCAGTGAAAAAAAAAATCACTGACACTGTACTAATGATACTGGGCATGAAGGGGTTAACATTTTTAGAGTTTAGTGTGTGAGGGGAGTGTTTTACTAGGGGGCGGGGGTGTGTGCTGGAGGAGGGGGAGACTGATCGAGGGAGAGAAACTCTTCTCTCCCTCTTCAGCTTTCATGAGCTGTCAGAGAACTGACACAGATCAAGGCTGTGTGTAAACAATGCAGCCCTGCTCTGTGTCAGCGATCACCAGTCATCGAGGGAAAACGAACGGTAATCACCGGCCGTGAAAGGGCGGCAGAGACCCGCTGCTGACACCCGCGGGCCTTGCGTGCGCCCCCTACCTCTTTTGCAAAACTACGTTTTAAAATGTGGTTTTGCCTGTGAGTGCCGCCCTGCAACCGTTTTAATGCGGTGGCTGGGCGGCAAGTGGTTAATAAATTATCTTGTTTACACGCTATACCTGAAGTCTGTGTTTCCCTGTGTCGGTCCACACACCTCTGGTCATTCCCGGAGCCCTGACATTACACCAAGGCCATTCCTGACCAGAAGTGGCTGCACAGGGAAGCCATCTTGGCTTGTTGTTGTGAAGGATGCATCCGGAGGAGGTTATATACTTGTATCTGCTAGTCTTAGATGACAGAGAATATGCCTATGAGACTCTGCAGGAGTATACCAGGGATCAGCTGCTAGAGTGCATACTGGTCGCTCATTCCCTAGTAGATCAGGGCAGAGAGTTCTGTGAGGTGCAACCATTGATTCAGGCTTGTGTTGAGTTGGCTTCATCTAGTACCCCTGAAAGCAGGAGAATGACTTTCTTCCACCATTCAGTACGGATCACTGGTATGGTTGTTGGAGGATGATCCGGATTGCTTCTGGGAGCATTATTCAGCATGTTCACCAAATGTGCTAGTGGACTGTATAAACGCAGTGCAGTCTTTGGTCAGACAGCCTATATGTAAGCTGAGTTTCGTTCAACCAATACTACAGTCCTGGTCAGACTTGTTACATCCAGCCTCAGGCAGCTTGCAACAAACCAGTCCTGCTTCCAATCATTCCTCTGCTCAAAGCTCTACTCCTGCATTCCTGACAGCAGCCCAATATACCCTGCTATCTACCACATGTCAGTACCCTGTTCCCACTCGCTGCACCTATCCTGCCTTTAACCCTGTAAAAATGGCCGCTGTAGCAACTATTCCCTCCTCTGTTCCATCCTCCAGTTCTTCTCTGTTTCCAGCTACTCCCTCCATTTACAGACCTTCATTTACTTGCAGTGCCCCAGTAACTAAACCTAAGAAGAAGCAAAAATTCTTTCCAACCAGTACCATCCTACCAGTATCCAAACCGGTCAGCCTGCCGTCTGTGAACCCGTTGTTCAGCCTGATGCCTGATGACCCAGTGTACGCTACCCAGCCTGATGACCCGATCCAGCCTGATGACCCAATCCGGCCTGATGATCTTACCCAGCCTGATGACCCGATCCAGCCTGATGATCCTACCCAGCCTGATGATCCTATCCAGCTTGATGATCTGGTGCCCGCTACCCAGCCTGATGACCAGATCCGGCCTGATGACCCGATCCGGCCTGATGACCCGATCCAGCCTGATGACCCGATCCGGCCTGATGATCCTATCCAGCTTGATGATCTGGTGTACGCTTCCTAGCCTGATGACCCGATCCAGCCTGATGACCCGATCTAGCCTGATGACCCGATCCAGCCTGATGATCCTGTCCAGCTTGATGATCTGGTGCCCGCTACCCAGCCTGATGGCCCAAACCGGCCTGATGGCCCAAACCGGCCTGATGGCCCAATCTGGCCTGATGACCCGATCCGGCCTGATGACCCGATCCGGCCTGATGACCCAATCCGGCCTAAAGACCCGGTGCCCGCTGTCGTGCCAGATGACTCGGTGCCCGCTGTTGTGCCAGATGACTCGGTGCCCGCTGTCGTGCCAGATGACTTGGTGCCCGCTGTCGTGCCAGATGAGTCAGTGCCGCTGTCCTGCCAGATGACTCGGTGCCCGCTGTCGAGCTTGGTGACTCGGTGCCCGCTGTCGTGCCAGGTGACTCGGTGCCCGCTGTTGTGCCAGGTGACTCGGTGCCCGCTGTCGTGCCAGGTGACTCGGTGCCCACTGTCGTGCCAGGTGACTCGGTGCCCACTGTCGAGCTTGGTGACTCAGTGCCCGCTGTTGTGCCAGATGACTCGGTGCCCGCTGTCGTGCCAAACGACTTGGTGCCCGCTGTCAAGCTTGGTGACTCGGTGCTCGCTGTTCTGCCAGATGACTCAGTGCCCGCTGTCCTGCCAGGTGACTCGGTGCCCGCTGTCCTGCCAGGTGACCCAGTGCCCTCTGTTCCGCCAGATGACTCGGTGCCCGCTGCTCCGCCCGATGGCCGGTGCCCGCTGCTCCGCCCGATGGCTGATACCCGCTGCTCCGCCTGATGTGCCTCCGTCCGCTGCCCAGCCTGATGTGCCGCTGTCCGCTGCCCAGCCTGATGTGCCTCCGTCCGCTGCCCAGCCTGATGTGCCTCCGTCCGCTGCCCAGCCTGATGTGCCTCTGTCCGCTGCCCAGCCTGATGTGCCTCCGTCCGCTGCCCAGCCTGATTTGCCTCTGTCCACTGCCCAGCCTGATGTGCCAGCCCCTGATATCCAGCCAGTTACCTGACCCGGGCGGTGGAACATTTTGCCCACTAAGGACTTTTTGGAGCGTCCTGAGGCTGCTCCTTGAGGGGGGGGTACTGTCAGGAATGGACTCGCCAATGGTGGTGGGACTCACCTGCCTTGTGGGCTGCAGTACCAAGGCTGGCTAGCGGGTGCTCTCAGCAGCCAGAATCTCATTCCTGCCATCAGGCCATCACCTGAGGCTGATTGCAGGAGGTGTATTTAAGCAGGACCAGGCCTGTGATCAGTGCCTTGGTGTATGTTTCCCATGAGCCCCTGTACCTGCATCCTGTCTGCTTCCTGCCTGATCCTGCTTTTATCCTGACTCTGAACAAACTCTGCCTGTCCTGGCCTTTGGCTATGCCTGACCACTCTTCCGCTCGCTCCTGGTACCCTCTTTTGCCCGTTAGCTACCGACCCGGCCCGCCTGACTACGTTGTGCTCCATATATATATACATATATATCAGTTTAGGTTTGGGTTTGTTTCACCTTGTTGTATGTATTTGTGTTAGTTTTGGGTTTGGTTTGTTGCACTGCATTTATGTTTGTGTTGTCCTTAATAAATTATCTTATTTACACGCTATACCTGAAGTCTGTGTTTCCCTGTGTCGGTCCACACACCTCTGGTCATTCCCGGAGCCCTGACAGCTGCCTTCATATTGCAACAAGTTTGTTTGCAAGAAGACATTTACCTACATGCCGCCCAGCCACTGTACATATACGGCGACAGGGCGGCACTCGCAGGCAAAACCACGTTTTAAAACGTCTGTTCTGTAAACAAATAGGGGGCGCGCCGCCGCCGCCCAATCTGTTCCGCGGATCACCGCCGCAGATGTCAGTCACCGGGTCACAGCCGCTCCTTAGCGGCTGTTTCCCGGCGATCTGCGGCAAACAGTGACAGAGAGCACAGCTGCAGTAGCTGTGCTGTCTGTCACTTCCCTGTCAGCTCAAGGATGAGCTGATCGAGAAAGAACAGTTTCTCTTTCTCGATCAGCCTTGTCCCGTCCAGTACACACCCCCGCCCCCTAGTAAAACACTCCCCTCACTCCTATAACCCTTCCCTGCAAAATAAAGTTAACCCCTTCCTCCCCATTGCCATTAGTACAGTGTCAGTGTTTTTTTTTGCACTGATCACTGTATTAGTGTTTTTGGGGATGTCAGTGACCCCAAGTCAGTACCCCCCAATGTCAGAATGTTCGCCGCAGTCCCGCCATAAGTCGCTGGTCGCTGCCATAAGTCCCTGATCGCTGCCATAATTCGCTGATCGCCGCCATTATTAGTATAAAAAAAACCCCTAAAAATCCCAGTATCTTTCCCGCCATTTGTAAACGCTATAACGTTCACGTAAACCAATTAATTTACAGGTATTGGGTTTTTTTTTAGCAAAGACATGTCGCAGAATGCATTTTGGCAGAAATTTATGACTAAATTTGATTTTTGCATTTTTTTTTACTGGACATGTTTTATAGCAAAAAGTCCAAAATATTGTTTTTTTTTTTTTTTTTTTTTTTTTTTTTTTTCCCTCAAAATTGTCAGCCTTTTTTTTTATAGCGCAAAAAAAAAAAAAAAACCGCACAGGTGATCAAATACCACGAAAGAAAGCTCAATTTGTGGGGAAAAAAAAGGATGTTAATTTCATTTATGTACCATATTGCATGACCATGCAATTGTCCGTTAAACTAGCACAGCGCTGTATAGCAGAAAAATGGTGTAAATTGCAGTATATATACCATAGTTTGTAGACGCTATAACTTCCACACAAAGCAATCAATATATACTTATTGGGATTTTTTTTACCAAAAACATGTAGCAGTATACATTTTGGCCTAAATTTATAACCAACTTTGAGTTTACTATATATTTTTTATAGCTGAAATAAAAAATATTGTTTTTCTTCAAAATTTTTGGCTTTTTTTTGTTTTATAGCGTGAACAATAAAAAGCGCACAGGTGATCAAATTACACCGAAAGAAAGCTCTATTTGTGTGAAAAAAAGGACGTAAATTTTGTTTGGGTGCAGCATTGCATGACCGCGCAATTATCAGTTGAATTAGTGCAGCGCCGAGTAGCAAAAAGAGGCCTGGTCATTAAGGGGGGTAAATCCTCTGGAGCTCAAGTGGTTAACTATGAAACTATATAAACCAAAATATGATAGTGATCTTGGAGGAAAACTTCAGTCTGTATCTAATGCCAGGACCCATAGTCCATGGGCAAGAGGCTAACCTGCAGTCCCCTTCAAAAGCCCTTTCCCGGTTGAGTCTGTCACAGTCCCTATATATATGATAGAAAGCACCATCTGGAAGAAAGAACGCATGGCAATTCCATTACACAGGAGGTAGTGAGGATAATAAGTATGTACATTCTAATCCATAGCACCACAGAAATAGTGGACAAAAACAATAAAATACTACTACAATATCTGTACTATGCGATTCTGCATTGGGTAAAAGTGGTTCCAGCGGCGGATTCAGTCATTTACAAGTTTTTCGGTGTCATTGGTAAGCCCGGAACCAATTCAATGCGGCTGATGAAAGAAAGAGAAGGAGAGGGAGAGAGAGGGGGGTGGAGAGAGAGGGGAGAAAGAGGGAGAGAGGAAGAAGGGGGGGGGGGGGGGAACGAGACTCTCAATGTCACTATATAAGGCATGACAGGCTCCAATTGCTCAGCTCACAGCACAAGGAAACGAGGCAAAGTGATCACTAAAGCTTGTCAGCCTGTCCCATACTCTCAGTTGTCAGTAAAGGCAGAGAAGGGCTGTTGGTGCAGAGCAGCAGAAGAGGCAGAATTTTCAAGGAGGATATTGCAGGTCTGCCAGTGTAGGATGTTCACCTGCTTTCCTCCAGCTGCTTGCTCTGCTCAGGGCTGCCCCCCCTATCTCTAGTTACACTCTCTTGTTCCTCCAGCACAGAATGCCATCCTCTGTCTCTCTCTTCCTGGCTCCCCTAATCACTCACAGCTCTCAGACTCTTCCATAGTCATGGTAAACAGGGCAGACAATGGAGGGGGGTGGAGCAGATCATTAAAATAAAATTGGAGCCTCCTGGCTGTGAATTCTGCGGCTTTGCCTATATATCACTGAAAATGAGACAAAGAAAAATAATTTTGGAAACATTTCCACCTTTAATGTGACCTATAAACTGTACAACTCAGTTGAAAAATATACTGAAATCTTTTCGGTGGAGGGAAGTAAAAATAAGAGACTAAAATAATATGGCTGCATAAGTGTGCACACTCTTAAACTAATACTTTGTTGAAGCACCTTTTCATGTTATTAGAGCACTCAGTCTTTTTGAGTATGAGTCTATCAGCATGACACATCTTGACTTTGCAATATTTGCCCACTCTTCTTTGCAAAAAAAACTCTTCAAATCTGTCAGATTGTGTCTCATGTGCACAGCCCTCTTCAGATCACCCCACAGATTTTCAATCAGATTCATGTCTGGGCTCTCACTGGGCCATTCTAAAACTTTAATCATCTTCTGGTGAAGCCATTCCTTTGTTGATTTGGATGTATGCTTGGGTCATTGTCATGCTGAAAGATGAAGTTCCTCTTCATGTTCAGCTTTCTAGCAGAAGCCAGAAGGTTTTGTGCTGATATTGACTGGTATTTGGAACTTGGAAGAATGCACTTCCCAAGCACCAAAAGCCAAGAAATCCCCAGTGATTGGCTGGTGAGCCACAACACACACACTCATAATATTACCCCATTGGCTGTCCCACGCTACGGCCACTACACAAGGTGGTAGGGGCTACACAAGCTTAATGTCACTCACTTGCTTTGTGGGAGATCAAAACCCAACCAACTTCTAGGACATGTTTGGGAAGTTGATAACTTGGGCTGTGCAACGTTTTAAGTCAATTGATTGAGATTTTGGCACGTTATGGTACGTTAAGCTCTTTTTACATTAAGCTGTTTACATGAAATGTTTTAGCATTGTAAAATATAGCTTAAAGTGGTTGTAAAGGCAGATGGTTTTTTTATCTTAATGCATTCTATGTGCAGCAGCCCCCCTGAGCCCCCCTAACACTTACCTTAGTTTCCTCTCTCTCCCACTGCTGTCAATCAAAGTCAGCTAGCCAATCAGATGAGAGAGGGGGTGGGGCTTTGTGTCTGAATGGACACACGGAGGTATGACACAGTTCGGGTACCCCCATAGCAAGCTGCTTGCTGTGGGGGCACTGAAAAGGAGAGAGGGGACAGGAGCACAGAAGACAGACCTGAGAAGAGGAGGATCCAGGTTGCTCTGTGCAAATCCAACTGCAACAGAGGAGGTAAGCATCATGTTTGTTATTTTTATGCAAAAAAAAAAAAACACAGCCTTTAGTATCACTGTAACGTGAATAACTTTACATAGAGTTTTATAGAGTTTTCTATTGTGTGATGTTGGGAGGAAATTGGTAAACATCTAAGCTCTTTTTTTTGTATGTTGAGCCACATTAAGCTCCCCAAAAAACAAGCTTAATGTCCCCCATTTTTTTTTTGTCAAAGGCCGAAATCTATGAAACTTCTAAGACATGTTTGGGGAATTGAGAACTTGGGCTGTGCAAAGTTTCAAGTCAATTGATTGAGATTTAGGCACATTATAGTATGTTACACTCTTTTTACATTAAGCTGGTCACATTAAATGTTTTAGCACTGTAAAATATAGCTTAATGTGAATAACTTTTTGGTGTGATTTACCAAATGACCTGAAATTTTCAGAATATGTTGCCATAGATAGAGTCTTCTATTGTGTGAAGTTTGTGGGTGATTGGTAAACATCTAAGCTCTTTTTTGTACGT